CAGCCCAGGGCCAAGGGGTGTGGCTTGGCCAGGGGAGGGTGGGCTGGATTTCAGCTCCCATGTGTCCCTGCAGCTGGGCACCTTTTGGCATTGCACAGCTGCATAACCACGAGGGTTTGGGGACACTCAGGATAGACGTAGAAGGATGAACGGATACTCTGGCCTGCCCTCAGCCCTGCTCTGAGATGTTTTTTATATGCTGCTGCTGAAATTCCCTGCCAAATGGACTCTATTACATTATACCTTAAAAAAAAACAAAGTAAAGAGAGCCAGAGAGACATGGAATTCCCTAGCACAGCTCATAGAACTACCCCAGTCTCTAGCCAGTGCCTCACCACATGCCCCAATCCTTGGGCTGAGCTGAGAAGACATCATTGAGAGAAATCATTAAACTTCAAGGTTCCAGGCAGCCATGTGTTAGCTTTCTCTTTAGCCTGGAGCAAGAAATCTATGAATTGTGTTTCCCAAATCCATAAATGCACCCTGAGAAAACCCCATATCACGATTTGCTAGAAAGAAAACCTCTGATAGATTTCTGTCTTAAATACAGCACCTCCTGGCAAGTCGGCACCTAGTAGGGAGCTCTGATAAGAGGACAAAAGGAGATCCACAAACCATGTGTTGACATACGTTTAACTATAAACTATTAATAGCACACTGTCAAATGCTGTAGTTCCCTATCTTGACAAATAAATATTCATAATGACCTGGAAGGTCAAGTTTGAATTAGAATCTCATAGTCCTGGGATAGCCATGCTGGAACACTGTGGTAGTAGGGAGAGCTGGCTGCAGGCCTTCCCCATCCCTGACCCCGGACCCTGCAACTCACAGTCCATGGCCTACCCTCCTCCTGTTACTCTCAGCTCTGCCTCAACCTTTGGGGGAACTTAAATGGGCACTCCAGACTCCATATCCAAGTTCCAGTCACGCCTCTTATGGCCTTCAGTTTCTTTTCTTTTTTCCTTTTTTTTTGAAATGGAGTCTCGCTCTTGTCGCCCAGGCTGGAGTGCAGTGGTGTGATTTCTGCTCACTGTAACCTCTGCCACTTGGGTTCAAGTGATTATCTTGCCTCAGCCTCCTAAGTAGCTGGGACTACAGGTGCCTGCCACCATGCCCCACTAATTTTTGTATTTTTAGTAGAGATGGGTTTCTGCCCTGTTGGCCAGGCCAGTCTCGAACTCCTGACCTCCAGTGATCTGCCCGCCTCGGCCTCCCAAAGTGCTAGTATTACAGGTAAGAGTCACTGTGCCTGGCCATGGCCTGCAGTTTCTAGAGACAGATCTGGGGCCTTTTGGGCAAGTAATTCCAGGGTCCTGTAGATCCAGCGTATGGTCTAGGAAGAAGGCAGTGTGAGCATGGGTGGACACATCCATTGGATTCTATAGACTCCTTACCCCACAGAGAAGAGTCAGGCTGGAAGAGAGCCAGAGTAGAGGCCTCAAGTGCCCACCCAGAGCAAGGTTCCTCTTGTCCAGGTCTGAGGGCATTACTGCCTCCCAGAGTGACAGCAGCTACATGATGTGCCCCTGCCTTCTGGAGGCCAACCCCCTGTCCTCACCCCCATCACACACAGACTGGGCAGGTATCTCAAGAAGCTTGGTTTTTTTAGGTAACAATTTCATTGAGATAATTCACATACCATGCAATTCATCCTCTAAAGTATACGATTCAATGGCTTTTACTGTGTTCATAGAGCTGAACAACCAACCACTACCACAATTAATTTTAGAACATCTCATTACCCCAAAGAAACCCTGTACCTTTTAGTTGTCACTGCCAAATCCCTCTGTTCCTTGAGCCCTGGGCAACCATGAATCTACTTTCTGTCTACAGACTTGCCTATTGTGGACATTCCATGTAAATGAAATCACACATGTGGCTCTTTGTGACTAGCTTCTTAGCATTGTCTATTCAAGGCTCATCCATGTTATGACAGGAATCAGTAATTCATCCCTTTTTATTGCCATATATCTTATTGTATGGGTATCCCACATTTTATTTATCCATTGGTTGACCGAAACCTGGGCTACTCCAGACCTTTCGTGGACCATCCTGAGAGCGCAATGCTCTGTACATCGGCAGCGCACAGCATATGCTTGTCTGTGGAGTTTCCCACTGGGCGTCCCCTCTCAGCCAGGCCCTGCTGCCACTTCCTCTGGCACCATCATCAAGCCCTTCATGGTGCTATAGCAGGGCTGTTTTCTCCGAAGAAGTGGGGAAATGGCTCCCTTCCCTGCAGACGGGCACACGTGCTTACATATGTTCCAATGGTTCTGCGTCTCGACATCTCCCTCAGACTCTCTTGGCTAGGTTCATGAACACATCTTTCTTTGTAGAACAGGCTGAGAGCAGATGCCATGGTATATCCTATGTTAGCTGTTGCTGAGCCCAGGTACCAACTCACATAATAGGAAAGCCCTTGCAGGATTCAGAACACTAGGTTGTAAGTGACAGAAACCCAATTCAAATCAGTTAACAGCAAAAATGGAAAGTGAAAAGTCTAAGGAGGGCTTTTATCTCAGGTGGATCCAGGGACCCAAATCATGTCATCAAGAAATCACTTTCTCGCTCTCTCCCACTCCATCTGTCTTCCCACATCTTGGCTCTGCTTTTCTCTATATCAGTTTTATTCTCAGGCAGGCTTTTCCCAAGTGGAACAAGATGACCAACAGCATCTCTGGACATACAGTCTACCAGCTTAGTAGCCAGTGGAATAAGAGCTTATTTTTCAAGGCTTTCAGCAAACATCTAAGGTTTTGAAACTCATTGGTCAGGTTTGGGTCATGTGTCCACATATGAACCCATCATTTTGGCCCGAAGATGGAATGCCCTGATTGGCCAGTTCTGGTCCTGAGCCTACCCCTTGACTAGAAGTCAGTTCACCTGAACGTCATGGACTAAGATTGAGAAAGAGGGAGTGGCCCAAAAGAAAATCAAGGGGAAATAAATGCTGGACACATGCAGCAGATGGTACTGGAAGCTTCCGTTGAACTAGCCTGTCTGGGGTCTGCCGCACCAGTTTATGATGCACATCTAGACATGCCTGAGCTCTAGTAGTGAACATTCTTAGGCTGAAGCCAGGATCCCTGTTACATATGATAAATCAATTCCTTATGAGACCCTGGAAATTGATAGCCAAGATATTCCCCCTTAATGAGGGTTTATCATTGAACACAAACAAAGCCTTAGTCTAAGCAATGTTGCCCTAATGGTGGAATCCTGGGCTTTATTGAAGCACATTGGAGAAAATATTTTGAATCCAAGAGGGCTTTTGGAGACCTAGAGGCTCAATAAGTAGGTACCCATTCATCCATCACATTCATGTTTAGGATCTAAATGTCCTTAATTTCATAATAATTTATTCATGCCAGGAATGAGCAGATAATCAGGATGGGGGAAATATCGGAGGGGCCAAGGAGTCATAGGCAAGGGTGCTTGGGTAGAGAAGACTTTGTTGTAGGCAGCAGCACAACCCAGCTCTTCTCTGACATCCCCCTCACTCTTTCTTCCCATCCCTGTTCCTTTGTCACCATGGCAACCAATGATGCTCCCTCCTCCTCTTCCCCTCTCTGCTCACTCTGGTCCCCAGGCCCCACTGCTCTTTGTCTGACTGGCTTCACACCGTGGTTGCCAGCCTCTTTGCAAACACTCAGCCTGGGCATGCAGCTTCACCTTCTTTTCACCCTCCACCCCGTCACCCTCTCCCGCTCCATTTCCTTGCTATCAGGCATCTGCTTCATGCCTTCCTTAATCTTGATCCAGGCTTTAGTGAAATTACCATCTTCCTTCAAGAAGTTGTATGAAAATTAGATTTTTGCCACTCTAACCTGATTTGAAATGCATTAAGAGATCTGTCTCTTGAAACACCTCAAGGTGAGGCAATTTGTGAAGGGAAGAAGCATCCTTACTGCGGCTTCTGTGCTTAAACATTGTTAGAGAGTGAATCACATTCTATTTTTGTACTAGAAGTGTCTTCTGTTTAACGAAATCCCCCAGCATGTCTCTGAGTGAAACAGAGACTTTATCATAAAGGAAATAACATCTCAAGTTCAGAGATTGTGAGCTGTTGGCCCCACGGACTTTTGTTAGGTCTGTAGAGTGGCTAAAGAAAATTGAACCAACATTTAAAACTCAGCAGGTATTACATAAAAGTCTGGATTTCTGGCTGCCCTTGACTTGGAAATGGTCAGGTATCTCCACATGGTGAAGATGGGAAGGAGGGAGGAAGGCGAGTAGAGGCTTCCTTCCTTATGGGTTCTTCCTTTCTTCTCAGTTATGCCTGGCCAGCTTCCTACTTTTACCTGAGCCCCCTGGGCCCTCCCGGCATCTGAGCTTCATGCAGTGGTGCGATCTCGGCTCACTGCAACCTCCACCTCCTGGGTTCAAGTGATTCTCCTGCCTCAGCCTCCCGAGTAGCTGGGATTACAGGCACACACCACATGCCAGGCCAATTTTTGTATTTTCAGTAGAGACAGGGTTTTGCCATGTTGACCAGGCTGGTCTCAAACTCCTGACCTCAAGTAATCCACCCACCTTGGCCTCCCGAAGTGCTGGGATTACAGGCGTGAGCTACCACACCCAGCCTCCTAACTGATCTGCTTTTAGAACCAGGATTCTCCCACAGTGTGTAGAGTTTGCTTAGGGCAGTCATCTGGAAATCCTTTGAAGTTAGCCTGATACCTGAGATCAGGTGAGCTTTCTACCAAGCTGTGCTTCCACAGTCTTCCAATCATCATTTTCTAGGAACCCACTCAGGCCAGCTCAAATATTAGGGACTTTGTGTATGTGAGGCTATGGAAATGGCTCAGAAGTGAAAGTCAGCTAGAGTGAACTGTGTAGGGTTTTTCTCTTAGCCCGGTCACTTCCTTCTTCTTTCACACACCTACTCCTGTCTCAGAGTGGGCCGTACTATCCTGGTCTTCAGAAAAAGAACCAGGCATAGCAGATTCAAGAGGGAAGACGCCAGTCACTCTCCTGACCAGGGTGATGGGATCTAGGAGAGGATGTGAGGTGGGGTCCAGAGGGAGCTACCCATGCCTTTGAGTATGGATCTGATGCCACTTGTGAAATGGCAGGTGTGTGGGTCAGGTGGGCCAGTAAGTGAGGCCTTATATCTTTCCCCTCACAAAGACATTTTCCTCTGTAACGTCTGGTGAGGGGAAGTGCGGGAACACAGGAGGTCAAGGCTGCAGTGAGCTGAGATTGCACTCCAGCACGGGTGACAGCGAGACCCTGTCTCAAAATAAACAAACCAAATAAACAAAAAAGAAACATGGGAATGGTTAGAATAAATGAGTAGATTCATAAGCAGAAAAACTTTGAAGCTGCCCCCAGCTACACATATCTAGAGCCATATATAGGGAAGCACACAATACTATCTGAAATGCAGGAGCAGTTCTCTTCCCATGTTATCAAACCAGCTCGGAACCTTTGTTCACAAACCTAATGAACGGGACACAGCGTGTTCTTTATTTTCTTCGAATCAACTTTCAGCTCCTTGCCACACTTGGTCTCTGCCACCTCCTGGTTGTGCAAGCTTGGGCAATTCCCAAACCTCTCAGAGTCTGATTTCTCATTTGCAAAGTGGGTGTTATGGGCTGAATTATCTCCCCTCAAAATTCATGTGTTGAAGTCCTAACTCCCAATACCTCAGAATGTGACCTCATCTGGAGATAGGGGCTTTAGACTACATATTGGGTACAGTGTACACTGCTCAGATGATGGGTATACCAGAATCTCAGAGATCACCACTATAGAACTTATCCATGTAATCAAAAACCACCTGTACCCCCAAAACTATTAAATAATAAAAAAAAAAGAAGTGATGATGTTAAAATGAGGCCTTAATCCAATCTGACTGGTGTCCTTGGAAGAGGAAATCCAGACACCAGGAATGCACACAGCGAGGAAAGACCATGTGGGAATGCGGTGAGAAGGCGGCCACCCGAGAGCCCAGAGAGGCCTCAGGGGAAACCAAACCTGCCAACACCTTGATCTTGGACTTTCAGCTTCCAGAGCTGCGGGCAAATGAGCGTCTGTTGCTGCAGCCGTCCAGTCTGTGATATTTTGTTAGAGCAGCCTGGGCAGATTAATCTAGTGCGTGCCAGCACTCTTTCATGGAAGGCTGTGGGATAAAATAGAGGACACGAAGTGCGCTGGACAGGGCACAATACATCTTAGGTGTTCAGCAAGGGAGAGCTCCCTTTTCAAGAAGCCTTCACAGAGAGCTTCAGCTCACAGAGCTTTTATCAGATTGTCTCTTGCACTCCTTCTGTTTATTTGATTGATGGATCATTGCCCCTTAAGCACTGATTGAGCTCTGTGGTCTCGTTGTCTGTGCAGCCACACCATTTGCTGCTCCGGCACTTCCAAGACCAGAAGCTAGAGCTGGTGCTCAGAGAATAGCTGCCCCATGGTAGCGAGTGTCTGTCACTGGCTCTTTCTGGGGCAGAGGGAAGCTCCTGAAACCCTGCTCTCCCCACCTCCTCCGCCAAGGGTCCCCCTGCTCAGCACTTTTTGCACGGCTTCCTGCTGGCTATCTTCCAAGGCCTACTTTCTGCCCCAGGACCTTACAAAGGCTGCTTTGATGAAAAGTTTGAGGCAAAGTGACTATGTCATTTGATACAAGAGGCTCAAGGGGGTAAAAAGTGTAGCTTTCTTCTATTTTTGGATTTTCTAGCCCAAAGGAGAATCATCAGCTGAATGGGGCTGGGGCGGAAGCCAGGAGCAGAGAGAGGAAATGCCCCCAGGCTGGAGAGCCCCTGTGATTAGCAGCTGGAAACCTAGAGCGTGACCTGCTTGTGAAGAGGAGCCTCTGCAGCCAGACTCTACATCCAGAGCTGGTCAGTGTGCAGGGGCCACTCCCTGGGGGTCACCAGACTCACTTCCTCCAGTGGTCTGATCCCTCCCTCCCTCCTGCTGATGGAGTACAGGCCAAGGACAGTCACTCTCAGGGCAGGATTTGAGAGGCACCACAAAAGCCCCTTATCCCTGGGGTCCCTGTCATCTACCACCAGGGCAGTGGCAAGGGGCCCTGCACTCGGGGCACTTTGCACATAGCTTAATGCTCTGCTGTCACTGTCAGTGGAATTCTTGATGTTTTTGAATAAGGAACACTATATTGTCCTCTTGCACGGGCCACAAATTCTGGAACACAACCTCCCCACCTCTCCCAGTTCTTGGAATTCAGGTTGGCAGTCCCTTCCCTTCCCTGCTCTCTCTGATACCGCTCATCTGTGTAGCTCCTTATTCACTACCAGCCTCCACCTCGTTAGCTCACTGTCACTACAACCCTGTGAGGGGCTGACATCTCTCTGACTTGTGGCCCTTTGTAGGATTTGCCCCACAAGCCCAGGCCTTTTGATGCCACCACTTTGCTCTCTTTGAGAATCAAAAATGCCTACCTCCTGACGCTATCTGTAATCCCCTCCTACTTACGTGTAAGAAATTTGCAAGTCCGAAACCCATCCTCCACTTCACTCTTAAGAGCCTACAGAGCCCTCTGAGGATGCTTAATAAATACTGACTAATGAACCTGCAGCTGCTGCTCCTTTGGCTAATTAAATCTAAGTAAGTCACAGACTTTGAATTATGCAACAAGGCTTGGCCAAAACAGCTTAAAAATGTGGGAGCCCTAGCTTTTCTCCTGTGCCCTGTGGAAAAATCCCATCTTTTAATCATGCTTAACCTTCCTGAAGAACAGCGGCAACCTTTAAATAATGAATGAATGTATATTAGCAAGATTTCCCCAAAGCTACACATGGGAGTCAGATCAAAAAAGGGACAGAGGCATACACAGGCCTGGGGGGATTCTGGAGCTTTCTGCTGAGTCCTGGCCTGTGGGGTAAAGTCATTTGGTTCCCCAGAAGCCCAGAGCATGAACTGGTGAAAGGGAGGAGGGGCAGATGTGCTACCCACAGGCACAGCTTCCTGATGTGGCACAGCAAGCTCCTTCCACCCCAGCCTGAGGCAGAGGTTAATGGAGACACCATAGCACTTCTGAAGAGCCACACACTCAGTTGTTCTCCCTCTCATTTCCCGGGACGACCCTCCTGGCCAAGAGCATTGTCTTCACAAAGAGGGAAAAAAAAATTTTATAGAGTCTTGCTCTGTCCCCAAGGCTGGAGTGCAGTGGCACTATCACAGCTCACTGCAGCCTCAATCTGCCAGGCTCAGGTGAGCCCCCCTTCTCAGCCTCCCGAGTAGCTGGGACCACAAGTGCATGACACCAAGGTGGAATCTCCCTATCTTGCCTTGGCTGGTCTTGAATTGGGCTCAAGTGATCCTCCTGCCCTGGCCTCCCAAATTGCTGAGATTACAGACGTGAGGCACCGTGCTAACCCAGGACAGATTGAATTGAGTCTTATCACCTAAAGTAGGCTTCCCAGACTTTAAGATGCATATGAATTGCTGGGGGTACTGTCAAACCACACCTGCTTCAGTGGGTCTGGGGCAGGGTCTGGGATGCTGCATTTCCAAGACGCAGATGCTGCTGATCACCCATTGAAGAGCAAAGATTTAGGTTTTTCAACCCTGATTGCAGATTAGAATCAACTGGGGCATTTGTAAGGCTAACAAATCTCCTCTGGATGCCATCTCAGATCAATTAAGTCATGATTTCTCAAACAACCTCTAGACTTTGGTCCTTCTTTTTTCTGAGTTAGAGTCCAGATAATTTAAAGGTCACCCAAATGAAGCCTAGAAAGCTTAACCGACTTGCTCACAGTCATCTGCTAAATTGGGACTAGAAATAGACATGGCAGGAAAGTGGCCTTTGGAATCAAGCCTTAACCACACGCCCCACCCCCATCTCCCCAACTGTAGTCCTGACCTTGGGCTAAGGGTGGCAACCTATGATATTCCATTTAGGGAGCAGGAAAGATTCTCCCATCTTTCTCTCCCTCAGCCTGCCTGAAGCTTTACTATTAATGCTTCATTATTTGGGCTGAAGCTTAGTAGTCCTTTGCAATGAGTGCCATCTCTTATACATAGTCTTCAGCAGCTTGAGGTCCGTGGGCTGATCAGAGTCCCCTGACTGGCTCTCTGGGCTCTGTTCTGTGGGATCTGGGATCAGGAAGGGGAGGGACTCTGGAGTTCAACGTGCCTCCCCTTGCAGCTTTGCTGAGGGCACCCAGCACAAAGAGGAGTGCCCTTCCCAGGCTGCTGCCCTGGTTGTGTCAGGTCATGGGGCTTCAGGCAGAGGTCAGGAGGATGAAGGCAGAGTGGCTCCAGGTGTGTGGCCAGGGAAAACCAAGACCTCCCTGCTGTGGTATGTGGTACTCTTCCTTAAAGCCGAGTGCAGCAGTGACCAGGCCCAGACTGGCTACAGCTGTGCTCCACCCAATGGTTTCAACCCCACCAAAGGCTTTCTGGTTCAGCAGCTCAGGAAGGGAGTGGGAGCTGGGCCTCAGGAAGTAGGGATGGTACACCAGTTATTTGCTTATTTGGTATGTCTCTCCTTCACTCATACTACCAGAATTCTGATTTTGCTCAAGGCTGCAACAGTGTCCATGCAAAAACCTTACCACCTGACACCCTGCAGATAGGAGCAGCAGCCACATGACCTTAGTTTGACCAATGGCACGTAAGCAGAAGTCTGTGGGTTGGGCTTCCTGGGAAGCTTTTAAAAGGCAGCTCCTTTTCCGCCCTGGAGTAGTGGACCTGGTACCTGGAGCTTCTCCAGCCAACTCGACGCCATGAGGCTAGAAGCCATGGGCTGAGGATAAGAGCCCTGTGCCAAGGGTGGTGGAGGAAGGCACCACCTGGGTCCTCTATGACTTCCTAGAGCTGTTTCGCCAGCCATGAACTGACGACCTGGGACTTTGCGGTATGTGAGAAACATAAACTTCTGCTTGGTTAAGACACTGTGGCTGGATTTCTTTTACAGCTGAATGTAATCCTCAAACTCAGGGCCTTAGAAAGTTTCTGGTCTGGAAACGGGAAGGTCCAGGCAACAAAGTGGTCTCCAGGAATTAAAGGAGAAAGGCTTTTATTTATCTGTTTGTTTTGAATTACTATTCCACTCTACAATCTTTAGTTTATTCCCTGTTTCCTGAGGGATTACGTTTATATTCCTCAGACCAACATTTGAGGCTCTCTAAAACTTAGCCCCAAATGAATTTTCCAGGCCTGTTACCTTTTACACCATTCCCTGGAGCAAGAGTGACCTTTCTCTCCTGGATACACATTACATACTCCCAGCCTGATCTTCATTTGTGTGAGGTATCCCTCCTGATTTCCACCTGTTCAGGCTTACCTACCCTTGTGAGCTCATCTTTCAAGAAGACTTCCTGTATCACCTGTATCCTAGACTCCGGAGAGCTCTTCTATGATCTCGTTTGTAACTGAGGTCTGTATGCTGATAGCTGCTTAACATTTTCATGTGTGTTAAACTCATTTCTCCAGCAAGGTTGTGAGATCCTCCTGAGGCAGGCTCTTGGGAGCAGGGTAACATGGAAAGAACATGTGCTCTGGGATGATCTCGGTTAAGTCTAACCCCTCTGAACCTTGGTATCCTTGCTTGTGACACGGAGATGATATGCATTTCTACCTGTAGGGTTTTAGGGACTTAGGGTGCAAGGCATGTTAGCATTGGTGTTAAAGACGCGCTCGTAGGTTGGCTTGTTGCGTGGCTGGTAACTGCTTAGCTGAGCCTTTTCCCTATTCTTTCTCTCTCTCTCTCTCTCTCTCTCTCTCTCTCTCTCTCTCTCTCTCT